ACACTAACACACACTCTGCATCCGCTACACTAACACACACTCCGCATCCGCATCCGCTACACACTAACACACTCTCTGCATTCACTACACATTAACACTCTGCATTCACTACACTAACACACACTCTGCATCCGCTACACACTAACACACTCTCTGCATTCACTACACATTAACACACACTCTGCATTCACTACAAATTTACACACACTCTGCATTCACTGCACTAACACCCACACTACATTCATTACACTGACACACTCTGCATTCACTACTCACTAACACACACTCTGCATTCATTACACACTAACACACACTCTGCATTCACTAAACTATGCACACACTCTGGATTCACTATACTGACACACACTCAGCATCCACTACACAAACACCCTGTATTCACAGTACACACACTACATCCACCACAAATTGAAACACTTTGCATTCACTATACACAGACACTGCGTCTAATACACACACTACATCCACTACAGACACTGCATCCACTAAACACATTTCATCTAGTACATACAAACACTACATCCACTACACAAACACACACTACATCCACTACTCAAATACACTCTGCGTTCACTATACACACTGCATACACTAACACAACACACACACTGCATACACTAACAACACACACACACTGCATACACTAACACAACACAACACACACACTGCATACACTAACACAACACACACACTGCATACACTAACACAACACACACTGCATACACTAACACAACACACACACACTGCATACACTAATAAAATACACACACTGCATACACTAATACAATACACTCACTGCATACACTAATACAACATACACTCTGCATACACTATACTGACACACACTCTGCAGTCACTACACTAACACACACTCTGCATCCACTACACTAACACACACTCTGCATTCGCTACACACTAACACACTCTCTGCATTCACTACACATTAACACTCTGCATTCACTACACTAACACACACTCTGCATCCGCTACACACTAACACACTCTCTGCATTCACTACACAATTCACATTAACACACACTCTGCATTCACTACAAATTTACACACACTCTGCATTCACTGCACTCTAACACACACTCTGCATCCAGTGGTGTATCCTGGTTTTGTGCTGCCCTAGGCAGGACAAAACTCAGGCGCCCCCCTACCCCCGCGCCACCCCCACCCAACCCTTCCCCCTGCCCCACCTTCTAAATACACACTGTAACGGATCACCTGGCACCCCGACTGGGTACCTCCGTTGAAGGATGCTCCTAGCACTTCCTGAGGACTCCAAGCACTGCAGCAGACACCAAAACCACCGAACCGTAGGAGCATATGAATCCTCTCAAGCATATGAATGCTGTAGACAGTTGAATAGGAAACCATACGAATAGGTTTACACTCCTAGCAGTCAAACTGGAACAGCATACAATAAATCCTCCCCCAAGAATGAGACGACACTTCACTTTGAGGGTTAAGCAGGAACTCCCTGTACTGTCACATACAGTCTCTTTTATTCCCAATCCACAAACATAGTACAGCCCACAGGGCGTTACAAATCAACCAATCAATCCGTACAATACACCCAGACACTCCCACACAAAATCCTCCCCTCTGCAGGTGATATGATTACTGAACACAATGGGTAATCTCATTATCACCGGCAGAGGAATACAGTTTTTACACAATATTTATAACTTCTAAAATATAGATGTCACAAACATAAAACATACATTTTCATAATCAATCCATTCAGGGGAACAACATATTAAAAAATGGCACGAATCAGACCAGGGGTTCAAAAGTTAAAGGAAAGTCCTTTGTGACTAAATGAAGCATGGCTTTCTGGCCCAAACCAGTTTCAGAGTCTTCTATCCTGGAGAGTAATTCAATTATCTCCCAGGATAGACACAAGACATTAAGCACATGGTTGCAAAAAGACACAAAACACTTTAAAATACATAAAGTCAC